GTAGCTTTTAACTCAAACCGAGTTACACACAGAATAAATATATTTCAATAGCTTCAGAGTATGGCTGCAGCAGTTGCACAGTATAGCTGTGAAAATATTTTATTTTTCTTGAAAATATCTTTCTGCAGAAATATATTGTATTTAGAGATGTGTTACATATTGATATGAGAGGTTGGGACTGTGTTTATTTTTATAAAGCAAAATTCTGTGTTGGAGCTGTGTTTAGATGTGATGCAGGATAAACGGCAACCACAATCTTAGTAGTTGAGATTGCATGATGCTTTCCATTCTAATCTCCTGTTTTTAGTTGCTCATAAATTTCTAAATATTTTGCCTTCCAGGCTGAAATTTTCTATGCATCATCTCTATCTGTAGGTAAATTGTGTCTGGAAATCCTGAGTTTAAAAAAAAAAATTACGTTCAAGGACGGTGAAAAAAAAACTCGTCACAAATTCCAAACAGTCGAAACTGTGTGACCTTTTTGGAACAAGCCTATAGCTGAAATGCCTGGGAAAATGAGATTTGGAATGGAGATAGCCTTCATAAGGAGAAATGCCTAGTATTGTACTGGAAAAAATTGGGGCTTGGTTTAGCAATTTAACCGATTTATTACCCTTTGAAAAGTGTGTACTGATCCATAAAATACACTCATAAAGTGTGCAGGCAAGGAAAGATTTTCTGCACATATGTGCATGTCTAACTTAGCTATTTAGTGAGAACACTAGAAGGTGGCTAAGTGCATAGCAAATCGGGTTTCTTTTAAAAGCTCATTCCCTGACACATGTGTAAGGGAGGCTGTGCTGCTGATTGTAAAGAAAATGTATATAATATAGCTTCTGACTATTATTAAAATACATTCCTTAGAGTACAGAGAATTTATTATATACAAAGTCTAAATCAAGAAAAGTATATTGAATCATTACAAGAGTAAAAATGCCTATGAGAATGACAAAAACTGTAAGATATTACATATGTGTATCTAAGGTTGAAAAAAATAATATGATATTGTATTTGAAAGAGGACCCAGGTGGTCCTAATACTGAACACTCTATTATAATGAACATGCACAAGAAGCGAGAGGAAAGGTTGCCCACACGAGCTTGACTTTGGCATTTTCTGATTTTAGAGAGCTTATCTATGCATCTGGAATGGTCTATTATCATAATTTCCCATTGAGTAGTTTTATTTTATTATAATATTTGACACATACTGAATGTGTTGGCTTACCATTATAGAAAAATATCGTGTATGATACCTATTTTATTATGTCGTGCCTGAGTTAAGCTTTATAACATGACTAATGTGTCACTTTCGAGCAGCTAGCAACAGAGTGCATTGTAAGCCATGGAACACTGTACAAAACATTTCTGTAGATGATACATAGTAAAATAAGATCTCACTGGTTCTGAGACTAGCAAAAATAAGTGTATATATCCCAATTAAATCTTATTTAGAAAAACCAGGTCACAAGAAAAACTAGAGTAGCAAATACTGCAACAGTACAAAGGACTTCACAAATAAAAGAAAAAAGAGCACAGCAGTCCCTTTTATTAGGTAGTGGTTATAGATGCTTGTATGTTGGTAAGAGATGCACTGTGATAAGAGGTCATGGTTGCAGGAGCAAAGAAGGGGCCATTCTGGTGGAGGGAGCCAAGAACCAGAGGATGGGAGATAGGGTAGGAGCAGAGGGGAGTGTGGCAGGAGCTGTGGGAGGTGGGAGAGGGGTGCAGGAGCTATGGGGTGGATGAGAGGAGAGGGAGGGCAAGGGCCAATGGGTGGAGGGGCAGAAAGGAAGAGAGGGAGGCAGGAGGCCAAGGGGTAGGGGGTAGGGTAGGAACAGAAGGGAAGACAGGGCAGAAGCTGGAGTGGGGTGGCTAGGAGCCGAGGGGACAAACAGGCTAAGGGCACAGGAGCAGTAGGATCTGTAACCACTAAACCACATTTCCATACAGCAAATACGTGTGAAACCCACTGCAAAGAGTGTATCTCATCTAGTCACTCTAGTGGCTGGTCAACATAGAGGATAACAGCCTACTAATAGTTACTCAGTCTTTTAGCTCGAATGGTAGAGGTCTATAGGTCTGAATCCTGCTAATGACCCAAGCTGAGGGTCAATATGGCGTCGCATAATGGAATTTTTGTTTTTTCATTTTTTTTAACAGTAGGAAATAACATACAAAAAAACTGCAATAAAAGAACATTAAGGTTGCAAAGCCAAGTACTCGTTAGGAACTGCCAGAATGAAGGTTTCCTGTGCAATCTTAATTTTGGCCTCTTATGTGTTTACGTAGGAGTCTTTAATTGCATGATCACATACTATTTTTCCTAATTTTTTAATGCCTGATTATGCAACTTTGTTTAACATGGTTAGATTGGTTTGATTGGATTACACCATATACAATATAAAAATACAAGTATAAGGTATGTGCAGTATTTGTATCTATATATAGTGTGTATATATATATATGTGTGTGTGTAATCATCAGAAAATAACCTTGTAATAAACAATGTGAAGCTACTTTATGCAAGACTAATAACCAGTTGTAGGTAGATTTTTCTAACAATTAATTTTAATTCTAACACTACTTTATCTTAAAGCTACTTTTTAGATTACAAACCTTTTTCATAATTACAGCAGTGAGAGGGTGACCTTTCCCTGTTAGGTGGTTTTGTTTACCTTTTTATTGGTGTTCTCTAGATTTAATTTTCTAGGACCCAGAAATCATTTTCTACTAATGTGATTCTAAAGTGTAATTGAAAATAAATCAGTCTTTTAGAAAAAGAAAAAAGGAAATTGACAACTAAGAAAAAAGTATGTCAAACTTTGCCAGAGGATGAAAAGGAAAAATCAGAATGATTTATATTACTTCTTAAGTAATATAATGTATTTATAGTGTTATAAGAACTAACAGTGGTATGTTCTGATAATTGTCTGAGTGCAAATTTACCATTAAAGAATGGCTGGCTTATTTCTTCTAGTAATGGAACTGGAAAATATATTATTTTCTTGCTAGTTCAGTGCATCTTCAGAGCAGTGTCTGTGATTTTATTTTTTTTAAAGGGGTGAGTGAAGTGAAGAGGAAGTTGGGGGCTAGTTGGCTGGCCTACTGGCATTAGTATTCCACAATGTCATCTGAGACAGATCTTTGGTTCCCAGGACCAATCTCTCCTTTGCTGAGCTGGCTGTCACTGGGAGCACTTTGGAACAGATGTATTCCATTGTTGTGGATTTACCTGTACATTATTTAATAGTGAATGCTGCCAGGTCTGGTAGATTAGGGGTGAAATTCTGATGTGTTTCAGAAATTCAGAAATTTGTGGCTGGGATAAGCCCTAGAATTTCAGCACCCTGAAGAAGTGTGTGAGTTGAATGGCCCATCCAGCTTCCACCTCATCTGTGTGAGCATCTCCTTCCCCACTTGCTTCCACATCTGTGCTATGGTAGCCTTTCCCAACCACTGCTACCTGCTTGGGACCATCCCCTCCCCACCACATCCATTCCACTATGTGTGGCTCAACAAACCAGGACAGAGATAAGAGAGCACAATAAATGGACACCGATTCATATTAGGTATGTCAAAACTAAGGCCAGATACCGCTGCGGAGAGGAGTGGTTAAAACCGATAGATCCTGGCAGCAGTTGGACAGTTATTTTTCAATAGAGTGATGGCAGGAACAGATCCCCAACAAGAAATTTGGGCAGTAGTATTCAGAGTCTGGCTAACCAATCCCCTGTCTGAGTTGAATTAAACTGCTTATGTGGCCAGTCTAGGAACCACCACTGCATTTCAACTGCAGCCTGTAGCCAACATGCTGGCTCATGGCTATTCGGAAGCAATATCCTAGCAGTAGCATTGGGCAAAGCATCTGTATTGCATCTGAACCTCAAATCCAGGCTGGTTTAGGATATTTTGCAAACCCGACAAGAGATATTGGCCAAGAAGGAAAATCAGAAAATCCTGCTCAAGCACCTTGATTCTCAAAGCTCACATCAATTGGCTCCACGCAGCTTCTTCCCTTCAGCCTTCACATCCCTGTGTGTCTTAGACATCGCACATAGACTGGTGGGGTATAAAAACTGGTCATCTCTCTCCCCTACTGCAGAAGGGGGGAGTGCTTGTGATGTTGGAGTTAGATGGAGGAGGAAGAGTAAATGGGGATTGCACCCTGGCTAGTTGGTCAAGTCTGTGCATGCAGGGCCACAACCGTAGCAGCCAGCTCCTCCAGTGCCCTGAGCGTTCTGTAATTGTTTACACCAGTGCTAAATGGGTGTGAAACGCTACCCTTCTGACCTGGTAGCATTTTACACCCACTTTGCACTCATTTTGTGCTGATGTGCACAATTACGCAATGTGCAGGGCAACAGCGAATCTAGTCCCAGATCTTTGGGTGGAAAAGGTGGTTTAAACAGGTGAGATCTTGGTGGTACATTTTAAGTGCTGAGATCTCCACTGGAGAGAAGAAAAAGCTGACACTTCCGCTCAGTAGAATTAGTTTATTACACACAGTTTTAAAACACATTTCACTGTCAGAGAGCAGTCGGGCCTTGCTCTACTTCCACACAACAAACACAAGAATAGTGTCATTATAAATGAAAAACAATCTGCACTGACTGCTATGCTCAGCATTAATACAGTTTGGTTCCAGTTGCCAGCATCACTTCGTAGTTAGCAAAAAATAGAGCTGTTTCTTTAGTCTCTCCTGGGTTATCTTTTCACAGTATTTTTAAGCATGAAAATGTATTACCGTCTCCTCAGCTTTTAAATGGCAAAAAGATGCCATTTTGTAATGATGCATGACTCATTCATTGCTCATTATCTTCCTGCTGATATTTTTCCTTGAGCCAGCAAGTACGTCTAACACGGGAGGAGGGAGAGTGAGTGAGTTAAGGAATACAGTACTTAAATACTATTGCTGTTTTTTCATTGGCTATCTGCCTTTGTAATCTGACCAGTCTAATCCATCCCTCACTGCTAAAGCCCACCCTGCCACCCCCTTCTTGCTAGACTGAGGTTAGCAGAGTGTCTGTTGCTAGAAACTGATTATATGCAGTATGTGAGCATCTTTCATTCAAAATGGGCATCAGTATATTGAGTAGGAATGAGAGCTTTTAGAAATGCATTATTTGACTAAATAACATGTTTTTTTAAATGGATGAAGAGACGCTGAGCTTTCTTACATTAATACTAACTCCTATTTTATTGGTATCTAGACCTTTACATTTTTCAAGCTCATATTAGAGCCCTTTAAAAACAGAAGCAAGAAGAATCTGCCTAGTTACGTCAAGAAGTGCATCATTATCATCACTATGAACGTGTCTTTCTCCAGATCAGTTTAGGTTTCTGAAATGTTTGTTTCTGTCTTTTGAATTCAGATTGATCTACAGAGAGCACAGATCAATACAGCTTTTTATTTTTATTTCCTGTCAATTCTAAAATGCCATCCAAAGAGTCTTGGTCAGGGCAAAAAGCTAAAAGATCTGCAGTTCACAACTCAAAACAAGAGAGCCGTCAACAAGATTTATTGATAGCAGCCTTGGGAATGAAACTGGGTTCTCAGAAGTCATCTGTGACAATTTGGCAACCTCTTAAACTCTTTGCTTATTCACAGTTGACATCACTTGTCAGAAGAGCAACTCTGAAAGAAAATGAACATATTCCAAAATATGAAAAGGTTCACAATTTCAAGGTAAGAATTCTCCTACTTTTTTCAACTTATAACTACAGAAAATGTTTTTTAGTTCTAGAATAGCTTCAAGACTGCAAGTAAATACATGCAATGTGGCTTTTTAAAAACTTACACACTTCAACTAAAATATTCTTGCTAGTTAAAGCAATTAGACATTTAAAAACATAAATTAGTAGCAAAAAAATTGTGGAATGCTTAAATACATTTAATTGTTGTATACCTGGGGTATCTATGTTAATTAAAATTGTTTCTATATGTAGAGAAAGAAAAGTTAACAGTGAGATGCAGTGAGAAAGTTATCTTTTAATTATAATTATTTTAGTTTAATTTTTATTTGTGAAACAGAGATGTCAAAAGACGTTTGTTCAATCTTTGATTAGAGGATTAAACAGATCTTATCTCTGTTTGTTGCTGGTACATAGCATTGGATATAAGAAGCATGTTCTGTTGCATCTGGATTGAGCAGATGGTCTGCATTTCCCTTAGTTTCTGGCTTTTCTCCTGTGTTAATGAATTGACTCTGATGAAAGGAGTATGGCTTACCAGGGGACTATTGAAGCTGCTGACATTAGCACCTACTCTTCATTTTAATATAATTTGCTTTTACTTTTATGTAGCTTCTAATTATTGTTCTAATGTGTTTTTATAAATATATTCCTCTTTCATCCATTAAGAGATACGCATGACAATACATGTATTCTGTGTATATGATTGTTGTAACTATCATGTAAAGTCTTGGAAATTCAGCTTTTTGCAACGAAATTCATCACATAATAAGCAGTCTGTATATGCAAAACTGAATAAGTGAACTGAGTGATTATATCAACTTTACACTGAGTGCCTAGAACATGGATTTTTTTTTGCTGTTGGTTTTTTTCCCCTACAGATTTTTTAAAATGTTAGGGTGTGGGGGGAATCTTGAATATTTTGGCAAGAAATCTGATGACATTCACTTATTCTCTGTTTCAATTTCCATCTGATATTTTACTTTTACTTACATTTCCAGCAGTCGACACTCCTCATTTGATTTTTTTTTTTAATATGGCTTCTAGCTCTCAAGTTCATACCATCACTAAAATTGGAAACCTTTATGATCACAATGTTTTACTGAACAGGACTCCTCCAATAAGTATAATTTTGAAAAATGTATATAAAATTATATAAAAATAGAAAATTAGCATTTAATATGAACATTTGGCACAGAATAATCCTGCTGGCTGTCAATTAAATCCACAGTATATTTTTGCAAGAACCTGGGTTGTACAGGTGATTTAAAATGTTGCCTTGCAACTGAGACCTTTGCCTTAGATTTTGAGGATAATAATAGGTGCTAATAGTTACTGATTTCCCATGAATACCCGTATATATAAAATACTTTTTATGTTTAATTTTGTATACCGCTTTCTTTCTTAGCTGCTGTATGAAATAGCATATATTTCTGTTCTGTTCTGGAAATACTCTGATGGTCTGATTCTTGTTAGTCTACTTCTTTTCTGAAATAGATTTTCTATAGCACTGTCCTTGTAAATTTTAATTTGTTATGCTAGCTGCTTAAACATAGTGCCTGATCTTAAGTAGTAAATACTGCACAAACTTTCCACTGTGAAGATTATTATCACTGTTGTACTGCTCTTCCCTTAAATGTATTCCTGTTAGAAAAATACACCTATTAAAAGTACGCCAGTTCTTCCACCAAGCCATTACAATGAAGTCAGTGTAAACAGATACCTTTTGTTAAATAAATGTTTTAAAATCTGCTAATTCTTCACAAGAACAGAAGCTTGTGTGCCAGTGGTAAATTTACCTGTTAAAGGGATGTTGTCCTGAATGATAGGCTTAAAGTCTGGCCGTCACCTCCATTTACAATGGCTTTAAAAATCCTTATTTTTGTTTCTTTTTTTTTAAATTATAAACCCTCCAAATTTATGGTGCCATAGATCTGAAACCAACAGCAAGCAGTAGATTATGTGGCTCCCTGCATTGTTGCTCAGTATGACAGTCAGATTGTCATCCTAAAAGTATAGATATAATCATTTTAAATCACCTAACTAAATATCTCAGGTCACTAGCAGGGTGGTGGGCTGTTTTACAAGCTCAGGAAAGGAAGCAAACACCCTGTCCAAGTCATTGTGAAGGTCCTTGCCTCAGGGCACGATTTATTGTTTGAACACAAAATAAAGCAACTTGATGGACCAAGCTGGATGTAGTCCCCACAGGCCTTTTGCTTTGCATCCACCAACCAGGGGAAGAGAAGATACACACTTCAGCTTCCTCTTCCTTGCCAGCCATGTGATAGGCAGGGATCTCTTAACCCTTTCCAGGCTGATGCTCTACCTTGTCCCATCACTTTTTGCAAGGATAGAGGTGGCCTGGAAGACTTTCAACCTGGGAATGTCCTATTTTTTCCCTAGATTCCTTCTGCATCTTGCACTTGAAAATGGGAGGCTTCTTTACTTCCTGTCTGAACTGCTGCATAGCGTTCTGTATGTACATTCAGTAATATGCTTTTGATTCCTTTGGGGTAAAAGGCAGGTAGACATATCTGAGGTGTTATTAATTTATTTTATTAATTAGATTGTCTCACCAAGCACTTGAGGTAAGTGCCTCACTAGCACAGGTGGGGGAGAGGAAATGGAGAATTATTTTTGTTGCATGTGCTATTACAACCATGGCCATCATCTTGGAAAACAGTGTGGAGGCTTATTGCATTCTTCTGCTGGCTACTGGGTGCATGCAAAATGGCAGAATACTTGGCTGCTGCCTCTAGCAAACTTTAAAATATTTAGAAATATTGTAATGCAGTAGCAGAAATAATCTTTTGTTGAATAATGAGGTGAAGAAATTGTAAATACCAGTGGTGATGGGACTATATCACAAACACAACAGCTGTCCCCTTCAAATCATCCAGAGTTGTCACCAATAAATCTGCCAACTCCGATTTTGTTTGATGTGGAATTAGAAAAAGGGGTTAAAATATTAGAGTTCAACTCTGTGTTGACATAATTGTTTTTGGACGCACGGTGTTGTTTAAGCTACCTGAAAGTCCAGTTATCATCCCAAAGCTATCTTCTGCCCTAAGTGGGCAGCCTGATTTGCTGTGGATGATTCTGAGCTCTGTAAGTAGGACCATGTTAGTACAGTTAATGATCACCATTTTGCAAATACTATAATATTTTCTAGATTGTGCAGTTATGATGTGATGTTTACACGTCTCAAATGCAAATTCATTGTGGCCAAATTCTGTTTAATTTATCTCCATAAGTAAAAAAGAGGGATGACAACTTATAAATGGCAAGCCAGAGTGAGTTTTTAATATATAACCTCCAGGGTAAGAGGTAAATGTTAAATATGTTTATATTGATAAAATATAAGCACATCTGCTTTTCTGTTTTTTTACATAAACTTTATTATTAAAAGCAAAATAAGTAATTCCAAACATAGCAATTACAAGGAATTGCTTAAAATGACATTTTATTTAACAGTAATTAAATAGTGAGACTTGAGAGTGAACTGAGATGATAAATGTGGCTTAAACTAGATCTGGCCATATTGAGTATTCGTGTATTTTACTTTCAGTCCATTTATCCCATTTGTGTAGTCCAGCATACTGTATAATATTTCAATTGTCAAAACAAACCAGGGCCATCTGTTGAATCATCTTTATGATTGCAACCTGCCATCAACCATATCAAGGCCTCTCTATATTTAGATTTATTTCCCATTATGGACATGACTCAACAACTACTGAAATCTGCTTATCAGTTTTGTGCTGCAACCCAATACCATAGAATGAGTGTCTTCCCTTTTGGGGCTAAAGACAGGCCTGTTCTGAGTATTCGTTTTTTCTTTGTTTTTTGAAGCAGGGAAGAGAGGAATAGTTGAAGCTGCAGATGATGATCTGGTTATGGTGGAAAAGCTTTGCCAAATAGGAAGGTTTTGCAGCATTTCCTAAAGTGATCAGACTGGATTTGTCTAATCTCTTCCTGAGGTTCATGCTGCAGTTGGATACCTCAACTGCTAATTCTTTGTCTGTACCTGTTATATGTTCTCTTCTAGTTTCTGTAAACTGTGTTGTCCCAGGAGAGCACAATTGTTTTGGTAGTTTGTAGCTGGAGATGAAGTTTCTAATGTAGCTGAGACCTTATCAATTAAATAATGTTAAGATTAAGACCAAGGACTTGAACTGGCTGCAGAATCAGACTACCAACCAGTATTGGGACAGGGGCAGTAGAAATTGGATTATGCTCCTGGACAATATGATCTCACAGCCACATACTTATTCCAAACCAAATTTTGAAGACCAGATCAGACAAGTGATCTATAGAGCAATGCCCAGAATGAGGGACTTGAGGCTTGTCTTGGGTCCCTGAGCATGCACAATAAAGAAATGTGAAACATTCTTTTCAGACTGAATGTATTAAGTTTGGGGGAATGTGCAACTTCTTTCCATGGGAATGTCTGTTTGATTCCACAGCCCTGAGAATCCCTCCACATTTTCCTCAGTTGAGCCACCCCCATTCCTAAAATGCTACAGTGATATAGAGCTTTTCCCTCTCTTTCTTCTCCCCATCCCATATCTTGTCATGGTAATATTTGTATCCCCCTGCCCTACCCCGCCATCTCCCTGCTGCTGAGGCTGAACATGCTGTTCCCATTGAGGTTGGGGAAGAATGATAATTTGTAATAATTGTTGAAGGACATAAACACCAAGGCAGGGGAAGGAGAGATTATTTAGGGTCATAAAAAGGGATATAATCAGGAGGTATAGGAGGAAAGTAAGAAAAGAAAAAAATTTTAAGATGAACGTCAGGAAAACCTTCCTGTCAGGGAGATGTATTAAGCCGGTGGAATAATCTCCCAAGGGGATGTAGTGGAAGGCCCATCACTAGGCATATTTAAAACAAGACTGGACAAAACACTAGCAAATATACTGTAGGGAACAATTTTACAGTGTTAGGCAGTTGGGCTAGATAATCTAGGAGGTCTTTTCCTTCTCTGGA